ATTTTTTTTAAAACTTGTCCCCTCGGCTTTGCAAGTTAAAAATGGAAAAAAAAACTTGAAAAAAAAAAAAAAAAAAAAAACAATCAAGCTCCTCCACATTCTAGTGTGGCCAATTGAAGAAATGCACCTATCAAAAACAACCAATCGGAGGCAGGAGGAAGGTCTTAGTGCTGTCAACCAAACTGGTGTACACGCTGCTAAACATGTTAATGATGGCAAAACATTTACCATTACAGAAACACTGTTTATCTGACGTCATCTGTGGCTATGCTAACTAAGCTTAGCTTTCATTGCAGACTGTGCTATCAGGAAGATGCTGTAGCGCAGCAACGAGCAATGGGGAGGATGTGAGCGGCACTAACACAAGCATGATTTACAACGCCTGTATCTTCCTGTCTGTGATTGGTTGTTTCTGTCTGAGCCATGTAGCTTTGTAGTTGGCACTGGGAGGAGGAGGAGAAGTTTGATTCTTTTCACAGATTATCTGTCTCATGCTGTACTGTCAAGACATAGTGACGGTTTTAACAAATATGTAAAGGACGAATTTGTTAAACATTACCTGCTGCAGCTTTAAATCTACTGGTTTACTCAAATAATAGTGTCGTGTTTGTCGAGTGTAATATGTGAAGTTGCAAACACTGTGATGTGCCATGAAACACGGTGAAGCGATGTGAGCGGTAAAACTCCCGCTCACAGGTGTTTTCTGACCAGGTGTTTTCTCAGTACGTGTCAGTGGAACCACAGCGCAGTTGACCTGAAACATTTCCTAACCCTTTCTTTGTATTTCTATACGTGTGTTCAGTAAATTGGTGTTGAAAATAATAAAACTTCTTTTCTTTTTTTTTTTATATTTGTCAACTACAGGATGAGAAGAAGAACAGCTAGAAAGTAACTGATATCCTCAAACCTCCTGGCCACACGTTGGAAATCCAGCCATCCTAGTGATTCACATCTCAAAGAAAATAACTTGTGAAAAAATGGTGACAACTAGGATAGGACTCTTCCTTTTCCTTGTACTTTGTATCTGCAGTGCGAAAGCTGATAATTGCCCCAGCCTTCCTCTAAAGAGTGAGTCATTTAACTCGATATTTGACCAATACCTGAAACTATTCTTCTTTTTACGTTAATTAAATGCCCACCTTCTTGTTTATAGGTCTCACTTGCTACAGTGACTATAACGATGTTATAAACTGTGTGTGGAACAGCTCTCATGTCCAAAATCTTACAGACGATGTGTGCACAGTACATGCAAAACATCCTAAGTCGTAAGAACAGCAGCAGTATTTTCCCCTACATAAAATGCTTCTAAGTAATGATGAAGAAAAAATAAAGGTTTTTCTCTTTTAACCAGGTACTATAAAGCTTCCTGTGAGCTAAAGCCCATTGATGCCTCAAACCCAGCTTTAAAAAACTGCTCAATGAAATTCTGGAGGACCTTTACTGTGAGTATACAACATTATTCTTTGGCTAAGCAGGTTCAAATTGGCAGTTTCTGCTTCTGGAAAAGCTTTAAATCTTAAATATATCTCAAATAAAATAAATGTCCTAACTAGCTCTCAATTCTTTTCTACTTTTTTATGCTTAGTCTCAATTTAGCTTTGTCAGGAATCATGTGTTCAGTTTTACAGAAGCATAGAGGTGCCACTCAGGCTGATGAAAAACAGACATATGTTAAAATGTTATGTTGTTCAAAGGTGAAACAAATATTGTCAGGAGACCCAGATGATTTAATACAGTACTTTAACAAATGTATTTCTATTTTCCCCCCCTATTTTAATCCATTGCTTGAACCCTTTACTCAAATGATAATGTCTGTATTCGACGAGACAGAAAAAGGGAAAATGTTTCATTTTCGAAATTTCAAAATTTTTCTATTATGTAGGAATGGCTAACAAAAGCAGATGCTATTGCTTCTTAAAATGTTTAAAATTGCTGTGAATTTTTCTGAAAGTAAAAATTATTTTATTAATTTTCAGTTCCAGTCATTTCATAACCTAACCCTTGATGTGAGCTGCATGCCTTCAAAACATCGTGAAGTCATTTACTACATGCCAGCGTGTCACAGTGAGTATAAACTAAGCACACTGCCTTGCTAAAAAAGAAAACTGCTAAAAAGTGCTGGTTTGTTGTACATTCGGCTATTTTTTGGGGCTGGGTGTCGGGGGGGCGGGGGGG